GTTTTTCTGTTTGATTATAATAATATGTTAAATGATATCAAGTGGCAAAAATCTGCTTCCTTAATTAGTCAAAATAAATATTTCCACAAACGTCCTGTTATCTATGACATTCAGTAAAAACAATATTCAGTTATTATTTTCTCTAAGTACATAAACTTGGGAAGGATGTATTGTAATGTAGAAAAAAAAGACTATATTGTAATATTTGAATTAAATAAATATTTTTTATGGTTCTGAAGTAATATAATGAGAAATAAAATGTTACTAGCTTCTCATTTTCCAGGTTTTACTATTGTATACATATAATTAACACTTCTAAAGGACAGTAGTTAATTTTCATTTATTATTCAAGACAGATGCCTGACATTGACACTTTGATGCAAGAGTGGTCACCAGAGTTTGAAGAAATGTTAAAAAATGTAATATAAGAAATTATTTTATCAGAGTTTTATGATTATTATAATTTTAAACAAAGCAATTATTACCAATTTTTGTCTAAAATGTTGTAAAATTTGTTGATGTATTTTATTCTTAGTTGATCACTCTCACTTACGAAGTTCATTATGAAGTCGTGCATACATCTAAATGATAAATCGAAGTTGATATTACATGAAATGTGACTGAATGAAAGAAAAACAAATCGGTATTTTAAATAGAAGATTTAAAGAAACATATTAATCTCAATATCATTTGTGCAAAGTTTCAGTAGAATATTATTAAATCTGCTCTTATCTGTTTTGGATATCTAATTCCAGGTTGGACTTCCATCAGCTGATATCGAATGTTCACTTGAACAATGTGTAAAGATCGTGTGTTGTACGTATGAAACAATTATTTTGCCAATAGAAACACCTACTAAACAATTACAAAAGATATTTCAAATAAATATAATATGGCTGTCATTTTCATATAATGTTAAATAACTTATATTAAAATATTTAAATTAATGTGTGTGCAAATATATATATATATATATGATTATAATGCCTTATTTGTAGAGTTAATCCTTAATATACTGTCATTTTGCATTTATATATATATATATACCATTAATTAGAGTGGTTACTGTGCAATAAGCTGTGGAGTTAATCCCTAACAAACTATTGGTTTAATTACTTTATACTATCAGCTCTGAAAAACAGATTAAAAAAAAGCATTTAACACAATCTTATTTAAACTTAATTTAGTACTTAAACAGACAACATAACTTCTTTTTTGTTTTAATTTTAATGATGAGTGTAATGAAGATTTGAATCAGTTATTATATTGATATTATAATGGTATTAATATCAGAGACTTGCAGTATTAGCTTCTTGTGCTGAGATACTATAATTAAACTTATATTTGTATTCTTTTATTTGTAACAGCCTCCTCCTGTCAGTTAAAATACAATATAAGAATATGTAGCAATAAAAAGCAGATTACTAGTTGAACATCATTCCCAGACATCTAAAACATTTATCTTAACGATGTGTCTTATTTGACTTTGCAGCTCTTCTGGATATTCCAGTTTACAAATCCATGGTCCAATCTCTTCATGTACTTTTCACGCTGTTTTCAGAGTTTCAAAATTTGCAGGCAAGTCATTATTGATAGAACTTTTATAATTGTTATCTACACAGTGTAGACATTGAATAGCTGATGTTCTTTATGGACTGCTTCTACTTGTTCCCCGATGTGAACAATTAGTTGGCTATTCTGAGGCCATTTTAGAGATCATGGCTTCTGTGTTTTAGAATTCCCAACTTTATGAAATATCAACTTTTTTTAAACTATTCTTGTCCATCCTGTTCTTTATGGACTGCTTCTACTTGTTCCTCAATGTGAACAATTAGTTGGCTATTCTGAGGCCATTTTAGAGATCATGGCTTCTGTGTTTTAGAATTCCCAACTTTATGAAATATCAACTTTTTTTAAACTATTCTTGTCCATCGATATGATTAATAACTTACTTCAATGGTAATATACACACCCAACCAGAATCCCACTTGTAGTCATCCCAACAATAAACACAATCAGAATCCCACTTTTAGTCATCCCACTAATAAACATAGAACCTGAATCACACTTGTAGTCATCCAAACAATAAACGCACAACCAGAATCACACTTGTAGTCATCCAAACAATAAACACACAACCAGAATCACACTTGTAGTCACCCCAACGATAAACATACAACCAGAATCACACTTGTAGTCACCCCAACGATAAACATACAACCAGAATCACACTTGTAGTCATCCCAACAATAAACATACAACCAGTCACACTTGTAGTCATCCCAAAAACAAACACACAACCAGAGTCACACTTGTAGTCATCCCAAAAATAAACACACAACCAGAGTCACTTGTAGATGACTACAAGTGTGATTCTGGTTGTATGTTTATTGTTGGGATGACTACAAGTGTGATTCTGGTTGTGTGTTTATTGTTGGGATGCCCAACAATAAACACACAACCAGAATCACACTTGTAGTCATCCCAACAATAAACACACAACCAGAGTCACACTTGTAGTCATCCCAAAAATAAACACAACCAGAATCACACTTGTAGTCATCCTACTGATAAACACGCAACCAGAATCACACTTGTAGTCATCCCAACAATAAACACACAACCAGAGTCACACTTGTAATCATCCCAACAATAAACATACAACCAGAATCACACTTGAAGTCATCCCAACAATAAACACACAACCAGAATCACACTTGTAGTCATCCCAACAATAAACACACAACCAGAGTCACACTTGTAATCATCCCAACAATAAACATACAACCAGAATCACACTTGAAGTCATCCCAACAATAAACACACAACCAGAATCACACTTGTAACAAACATTATTATATTTAAATCTTTAAGTTGCAAGATATAGTTTTACATCTGTAGTTCCATTTGACTTTACATATGTACTTATAAAGTTGTTCAGAAAGGTGAAATTGATCAGCTGCCCAGAGACATCTCGTTCTGATGCCATGATTAACAACCTCTCTAAAGGAAACAAAAAGTGTCACATCATTATGAAGTTCCACTATTTTGTAACATATACATGATGTGCCAATAACCCCTCAGTCACATGTTTTAATGTCATCAAATAAGTTCAGCAACAGTTATTCAAGTTGATCAAAATAACCTTTTGGTAATTGTAGTCAGAAGAATGTTGGCCAATTCAAATTTGAAAGCAAATGCTTATTTATATAAATATTTAGAGCTCAAGTACTCCTATAAAATAGTGTAATATGAATTATATTTATTAGTAATGAAGGTTACAAGTTTATGCAAATTAATGTATTTATACTAAGTATCATGACTTATTGGAACACCCTCGACAAGGAATTGAAAAACACTGGAAACAAATGTCATATGTGCCCTACATCTAACTAGTGCAACAAAACTTTTAGACTTAATTAAAAACTCACAAAACATTTATATGTTTATTAAGATCTTTATGCTTTAGTAATTGTTATTATTGGCCTGCCGTCACTCTCGACTAAGTTAAAACTGTAATAGATATGAATCAAAGATTCTTTAAGTAAAATGTAGAGTTAAAGTAGAAAACCTGGCTTTCAGTTTTGCTAACAAAATTTTGCTAAGGTTTGACTTACCCATTCAAGACTTTAGTCAGTTGGAACCATTATTTTTCTTAACTCTGTTTGGAAATTAATGTTTTCACACAGTGCTCTCAAAAATCAATAAGTAGGCAAATGGCTAAAATACAACCTATTTTGTAGATAAAAAAAATTAAAGCAATGACCTCGAACATTTACTCTTGTTAATGAATGTACGTTGTCTTTGGTTCATAATGAACCTCAGTATCAGTGATGTACACCCTTGTTTCTTACAGCACTTCAAAGCCTTGAAGAACCATGTGAGCAGCTCTTTAAATGCACGCGGTCAGAAAACATCACGAGGCACAGCAGACCATCTTGTATTGTGAGAAAACAAGTTATTCTGACACTTCTTTGTTAACTAACACATTTACTGTCCTTTCATGACACAAGGTACAAAAAAATGAGTTGAAAATACATTTTAGGATTTATTACAAGTTGAATTGGTGACTGTTATCATATCAGATATAACACCAGACAAAATGAAATATTCTACCTACAATCATTAAACACATTTAAAAACTTCTAAGCAATGGACTGTTATGCATATTATACTTAGAAATATATTCATAAGAAAAAGTAATACCAGTTATTTGTTGTTTTATTTTTATTATGCTCCAAACTTTTGTGTTGTTAACAACTACAAATATTCAACTATGTTTATTATAAGGGAAGAGTAATAGTAATTTTATTAATTTCCAAACTTATGTTGTTAACAACTACAAATATTCAACCTGATGATGACAAAACCTTGTCGAAACGTTGTACATTTGCTGTCATGTTAAACTTATATTAAAGTTTTTCTTCATTACCCATTTAAGCCGTCTCCAGCCATTATTAATAGTAATTTTATTAATTTCCAAACTTATGTTGTTAACAACTACAAATATTCAACTGTTTATTATAAGGGAAGAGTAATAGTACTTTTATTAATTTCCAAACTTATGTTGTTAACAACTACAAATATTCAACTATGTTTATTACAAGGGAAGAGTAATAGTAATTTTATTAATTTCCAAACTTATGTTGTTAACAACTACAAATATTCAACTATGTTTATTACAAGGGAAGAGTAATAGTAATTTTATTAATTTCCAAACTTATGTTGTTAACATCTTAGAAATATTTTGTTCAAGTTACAAGTTATATAAATTACACTTTAATTATTTATTAAAACTTGTAATATGATTATGTATGTACTGTAGCTATTGTTTAAAGCTTATTAAACACTATTTTGAAACCTCTCCCATTTGCATCTGAAAATATCACACGTGTATACAGCTGATAAGTCAATGTATTCTAATCAGTACAAACTTTTGTTTTATCACATTGCATACTTGTAGTTGGACTTGTGTATTTACTCAGCAATATTACTTACTGTGTTAATTTTTAATTGATAATGACGATAGTTCAGGTAAAACTAGTTGTAAATATAACCCATAACATGAAGTAATGATTTTGTAGTGAACACACTGTTTCAGTTTGAAAATGTGATTATAATAACTGTCCATATGGTGTTAATTAGGCTCAATCTGTCTGTGAGAAATCTCCATGTGCACACATTATATACATACTCCAGCCTTTCCGCTAGGAAAAACCACTGCTGATCACAGTGACTGATTATTAATTGTTTTACCAGTCAATACACAAAATAGTAATTACGTGACACTTGTTCTTTCTTAACTCATAATTAACTGGTTGAAATATATGTATTTATGGAGAAAAAAATCATTTACAGTAGCAGTGTTATTTTTAAATAACCATTTGTGATTGGCTTGAGGTTATGAATAAGAAACTTCTGAATGAAGACTTAAAGTGTGACCGAATGGCTGTACGTAATGCAAGCTGGGGGAGGGGTGGGCTGAAATGACCCCCTCGCATGCCTGTGATTATAATATACATAAGCTTTAAGAAAAGCCGAATTTGATTATGAGATATCTGAACGACAATTATAGGTTTTATTGAATATCTCTTATGTCAGAATGCTTTTCACCCCAACAGATAAGAAAAGTAGTTATATTAGTACCAAAAAAGGTTAAAAGGTTAAAACATTACTATATACTGTACGTTATAACATACAGCAGATTTGAATATATTATGTATTTCAACCAAACTAAACTATTTTATCAAAACTAATTACACTAGTCTCCAAGTACATA